CGGTTCGGGTTCGGCTAGTTCCCAATCTATGCAACTAGCCGATGACCTTGAAGGCGAAGGCAAAGACGAAGACGAAGACGAGCAAGAAGAAGGAGAAGAAGAATAGACAATTATTGTATATTGTACGATTTTAAAAATATCAATTTTATCATTTTCCAATTTTTGTTTAATACCATCATTGTATGATTTTTATCATTGTTATCATTGTACAATTTTCTCAACTCAAGTAATAATAATATAAAGTACGCATTATTCACATCCAAAGTCCAATTTGCCTTTTTTCCCCGTTTTGTTACAATTTGTAAATTCATATTAAAAAAAAAAAAAAATTATACCAATTACTAATAAATCATAAACATTAAATTTTAAAGTAATAGTATAAAGTAAATATATAAATATAAATATTGAATATACAAATTATAAAACATAAATATTCAACTTATAATTATAAAATTCATAACTTAATAACTTATAACTTATAAGTTATAAACTTATAAGTTATAACCTTATAAGTTATAAACTTATAAGTTATAAACTTATAAGTTATAACCTTATAAAACTTATAATTATAATTTTATAACTTATATACATTATAAACTTATTAATTTATAATGTTGTCATATATATAAAAAAAAAAAAAATTATTTGAAAACTGCACCAGCCCGCTGGCCGGCACGGCACGAGCCCGCCAGGCACGAGGGTCGTGCCGTGGGCTGGCCTGTGAAAATGGTCGGCACGGCACGTCACGAAATCCTGGACCCGCCGGCACGACCGGCACGGCACGAACCAGCCCGTGGCCCGCGGCGGCACGGCCCGGCACGGTGCCCAGGTCTGATTGCTACCTTTATCCCTCTTTCTCTCCTCTTTATTTTATTTGACTTGTTATGAGTCAAACGTGTAGGATTATCATAGTATAAGGTCAATTGTTATCGTTGATGTCATTAATACACCAACGAGGTTGTGAAAGTAGAATATGTGTTTCTTATTTGATTTTGAGTTTTGAAGTATCTAGCACTACACTTTGAGAGTAAGGAATAAATACGTCGTAGTATTATTAATACAACATAAGTTGCAGGATTCTTTCTTTGTTACACTCACGATTCTTATTAACTATGGTTCTATAATTATATAAGGGTGGGGCTTCCCCTAATTCATTTGTTGATCCCCACACTTCAAGGGTATGAGTGTGTGAACAAATGTGGATTGAATTCACTTGTATTTGTTCAATCTTTAATCTTTATTGCTACATTAGTAAGATGAGATAGATTGCAAATGGAAAAAAAAAAAAGTTTAATAAAAACATTTTAATTTCATTATAAATACTTAAGTTCATTAAAAATTAGGTGAAAAGAACATGACCTAAGTCACATAAAAAAGATCGAAAATTATAAGAAAATTTGCTAAGAAAAGGTGGGTTCAAATTTGATTTTAGTAATTAAAAATGAATTTTTAAGTGCAAAAATAAGGTTATGGTATAATTATTTCACAAATTTTTATGTGTGGCCGGGGCTACTTATTTTGGGATTACTTATTCAGGGGTTACTCGTTTAGTCAAGGGTTACTTATGGTGGTTACTTATTCAAGGGTTACTCTCACACTGAAAACAAGTTAATCGACTAAGTAAATTTAGAATAAGTATCACCTGACCAACTGAGTAACCCATAATAAGTAACTCCGAAAATGCGTTAGCCAACTGAGTAACCACAGAATAAGTAACCTTTAAATAAGTAACCCTTATAATTAACCCTAGCTACACGGTGTGACCATCCACACAGAAAAAGCACCAAACTTATACTTGTACAAAATTTGATTTTTTTTTTTTTTTTTAAACCAACGGAGCGTCAATTAATAAAGATCAATTTCCGCCAAAGTTTGAAGACTTTGGGGAAAAGAGTTTGTACAAATAAATTCCGAGTTTGCATCCGTTGCCCATCTAGCAACATAATGAGCAATCGAGTTGCCAGTTCTTTTAATATGCTTACATTGGAAAGAAATAAAAGCACTACACTCCTTAAAGATATCCTTATACAGAAGAAAGATGGGAGCAAGCCCTTGCTGCTGCTTTGTCTGAATTGCTCGAACCACTGACAATGCATCGCACTCCAACAGTACCTCCTGAAACCCCAATCTGCGAGCTAATTCCACCCCAAAACGCGCTGCACCAGCCTCTGCCAACTCCGAGTTCCATCTCACATCCATATGTCTCACAACAGCCGCAAGTAATTGCCCTTCATAACCTCTGAAGACAGCCCCAAACTTGATACCGCAATCACTCATGATGTGAGCATCAACGTTCACCTTAATTTTGCCCATTGGAGGGGAGTCCAGGTTGCATTCAGTGAGGTAGTAACACTACTTCTTGCACCTCCCACCTTAGTATTGTACACCTCATAATCATAGGACAATTTACAAACCCACTTCCCACACCCACAGCATTGTATATTTTTAAATTTCTATAGAATAATAGTTTCCAAAAGGAGAAAAAAAAAAAAACAAGTTTTATTTATTTCAATCCCTCTATTCCAAAGTAGATGACACAATTTGACTTTTAACCCTGTTTACAAATTCACTTTGACTTTATAGATTAAAAAAAGCATAGTCATATGTGGTGTTAGAATATATTTTAATGTGTATTTTCAAAATATCAACTTTTTATAATTTTACTTATGTATAATTAGAGTTATTTTAAAATTAATTTTAAATTGACGCACGTGATAAATGAAACTTGTTATCTATTAGAATGAAGTATTTAATAATAACAACGCATACAAAAATTCAAGTCTAACTTTCTTCCTATACAATTTTTTTTGTATGAAATAATAGAAGATGCTTGGGACGAAAAAGAAGAGATCTTGGTGAAATATCATAAGATACATGGCAATCGATGGGCGATCAACTCTAAGTTTATTCAAGGAAGAACAAGTGATTCTATCAAGAATCATTTCAATGCTGCCAAAAGTAAGCTTTTTTACGACTAAGTATTATCACAAAGCTGGAAATCAACCATTATCTCCTGTTTTACGAGATTACTTAAGAAGCCTGTATCAATGCAACACTACCTCCACCTCCAACACCATCATCGCCCCTTCGGCCGCCTCGCTTAGCTCGATGTCCTTACGTACCTATGGAAATATTGTTGAAAGCTCAAACGCACACCATTTTCAGGATGTTGCTTCTAATGAGTCTTCGCCATCAACCATAGCAAGCTCGAGCCGTGATGATGAGTTCATGAACAACGTCTGCCATGTGTTGATCAAATGAAGGAGAGTTTTGAATGGATGGAAGATGCGTAGTATTACTCAGCTTAAAAGATGAAGGAAGACAATTATGGAGATTTCGATGATGAATTTGAATTATTATTGTCTAAATTAGTAGACTTCATTAGTATGAACTCTAAGCTAAGTTGTTTTCTGCAAGTTAGTTGACAATTGCTTTATTTTTGTTAATTTTATGTTACTCCTTTTGTTTTTGATCATACCATAGTTATGTTTTGCATTAATAATATAAATCTCCTTTCAAGTTAAGTGAATTATTGTAATCAAGGCTGATCAATGATTTTTTTTTTCTTTGCGATTTAAAAATTCACAATGCATCCTTAAAATTTTTAAAAAGTTTCTTTGGACATCTCTATTCACCAAACGTTTCAAATCTTTGCATACTATTTTGTCCAATTCACATACCCCATATTCTATTAATAAATGCTTTGCTTTCTTACCCACTACTTTCATCCCTCCAAAAAAACACCTAAATAATTGTATATGTCATGTGATACAACACCCTCCTTTTCACCAATCAAAATAGCAAATTAAGAGTAATTTTATGTCTTGAAACAAATTCTGAAAACCCCCCTATTTCTCGTCTTGAGAGAACTGTATTAGTAATTTTCCACCACATCTCTATTGGAACGACTCCATCAAATGTATAGGTAAAAAAAACTCCATAAATGTAATAATTAGGTTAATAAACTAAACAATTATGTAACTCCATAAACTCAAGCAACAAAACCCTCATGTGAATTAAATATTAAGATGTAATAAGGGCCTTATTACATCTGAATTTTTCACATCCACATAACACCTTCATATTTCTCTCTGACCAAATGGCATAATCAGCCTCTGCAGAAACATATCCTATAGAGTATCTCTCTCATTCTTCATTATTCTCAAGATTTCTATCTCGGTATCGAAAAGACGAGAACTATAGGAGAAGATCCGACAGTGAGCAACTGCTTAAAAGAAAATTTCGACGAAGAAAAATATAAATGCATAATTATACTGTTACGTTACAAAAGGACAGAAGGAACACACCATGTCACCATTTCAATGTGAACATCCGATATATCAACTAACAAGTAACCACATTACTCAAGGTTGCCCACCATGTGACGAACAAGCTTCTAGAACTTGCTTCATTGTAACATAATGATCGATCTCCTTCGAGAATCATAACTATAGCAGGCAACTTGTGCTTTCTTAGAATGGCCTGCTGATCCATTAAGAAGCACCCTGCAGATGATAAAACTACCCAGTGGATTGTGAGATAGACTTGGATTTTCCACTAAGACCATAGCTTTCAGAGTTTCACCGCACACTTAACAATTCGTTTGCTAAATACTTCGTGCATAAAACTATAAGAAGGGGAGATTCAAAGAGCTAAATCTAGGTGGGAATTATATATTTCCTCCGTTCTATTAATATCGCATCACTTGCCTTTTAGGGAAGTTTCACAAATATTGCATCACTTCTATTTTAGGACAAAAAATATCTATGTTCACACTGCAAATACCCAACATACCCTTACTTTTTTCTCACTTACTTTTTATTTTATCTTTACATTACATGGACAATTTTGTATTTTTACGTTTCTCTCTCTTACTTTTTCCCACTACCAAATTTTGCCTCCAAAACCCCTATGATGCAATAAAAAAAGAACGGAGGAAGTAAAATATTTCAACTTCAAATAATTAATAGTACAAATTAAACAAAAAATTTCATGGAAAAAAAGAAAAAGAAACAAACAAAGCTAAGCCTATCAGCCAACTTTTTAAATATGGAGTAATATAACTGTTTGCTTGCAAACAACTAAGGAAAAGGGGTAAAAAAAGCCTTTTGAATTATGCAAGTCAAACTATATAGATCCGCATGGCCGATCCAAGTGACAAAAATGATGGATTACCTTGTAGAATACTACATCTAGCAGAACCAGGTTTAGTTGCACTTAACTAATCCAGATTACACTATTAATGAGACAATGAATAGAATGTCGAAGGGAGGAAGTATTCGCAGCTGTGCTGCATTATGACGCACTGAACTACTGAGGAATTGTTCCTACAGAAGATACGGATTTATGTTGTATCTCTATTCTATGAGTAATCCAACATAACCTGAGAATCAGGACATCTTGGCTCTTGCAAAAAACACCCCAGCAAATAGACCTGTAACATGGAAGAAATTTCATTAAGCTAAAAACTAAAGATCAAAAAAGTTTGTGGAAGAGAGTAGATTTGGCTGTCATTCTAACCAAATAATATGCTGAAGAGATTCGGTATGCTCAGTGGAACATTGAACAACACCAATCCAGCAAGTGATATAGGTATCTTGTTTAAGGAACCGACCAAGCTGTAAAATATACATCAACAGGATGTTACAATGGATAAGAAAGACGTCTGACTCAGCAAAATATACCAATTTCTGTACACTGAAGCTATGTTGGTTATATTTTAAAAATAAATATAAAGGAAGAGATACCACATTCCTCCCTATGTTGTTTTTTTTAAAGGAAGAGATACCACATTCCTCCCTATGTTGTTTTTTTTAAAGGAAGAGATACCACATTCCTCCCTTTGTCACCCTACTCTCCTCCCATCCCAAACCCTCTATATTCCTTTTTCCTTCTCTCCTGACTTCTCTATCAGGTTAACATAGGAAGGTGAAGTTTAAATCTCGATTTCTATTGAAAACAAGGTTCATTTCAAGATAATTTCCTTTAAATATTGACCCAAAACACAGCCTAAAATTAATTACATGTGAACTGGAGCTAGGTTGTATACCTATGTGTTAAATGAGGGTAGCATCTACCTTTGGTGCTAAAAAAAATGCTAACTGCCGACCTGCCGCTGCCCATGCAAGGCACACCAAGGCCTAGGTGCTGATGAGGCATGGGGGCTGGATGCTGCTGCCCAACTCAAGCTCAAGGCATGCTATGGCCTAGGCAAGGGGCAATTGCACGAGGCATGCACCCAAGGACAAGACATAATAACACATCATCCTTATTAAAACCTATTATTGGCAGGGTAGCATCTTGCTTGCCATAGGTTCAACGCAAGGCCAACTCAAGGATAGGCAAGGCAACAAGGCCATGGCAAGGCATGAAAACGAGGGGTGGACAAAGGCATGAATGAGATGATTCATGGCACCAAGTAGGCCTCCTGGGGCCCTTTGGAAGAAAACACCTCGATGCAAAACCGTGTCGAGTTCAAAAATTATCTACAGAGGCCAGATTCGAAAGCTATAATACACGAAATTGGATCGTTTTTGGAGATTTTGGGCTTGGTGTCGAAAGTCAAGTGATGCCAAGAAAGGTATCCCAAGGTCATATAATGTTGTTTGGAACCTATACAACCACTAGTTGGTCACATAGAGCCCTGTGGTGGCTTAAATAAATGAAGGAAGACATGTACATAACTAGCTAAATTGACAGTTTAAAGACAAAATGAATGTTTCTAACCACCCAAATGGCTTACCGGGTCTTAATGGGGTCATGGGAAGCACCCTGATCTCATTCCTTATGGAGTTCGAAAATGTCGAAAATTGTTATAATCCACGTGTTTGGTTCAAGTTTAGGAAATTTTACCAAAATAAAGTGAATATGGGGGGGTATCCCCTACACTCACGCAAGTTGGTTCGGAACCATAATATACCTACCATTAGGTCTATAAAGTCTTAGAAATTAATTTAGTTCAATTATATGGCTATTTTGACTGTTGTATTAGCAATCAAAAGCTTTAAGAGATGGTTCCTATCACTAATTTGACATCCTAGGTCCGATCCCATTATGGTGGAGGGATTCCTTCATTGGTTATCAAACCCAAACTCCCACTACTTACCATATGGTTGATGGATGCACTACATGGGTTGCTTATTACCATTTTGTTAAGTCATGACCACTTTGATTAGCCTTGTCCTGTTTACTAATCAGCGCTAAAATTGCTTCTAGAAAGGTCAGAGAAAAAAGAACAGTACCTATAAGTTGTAGGGCTGGTTTGACCTAAAAACCACATCGAAGTAAAGCTGATGGCAAGTCCCAACAATCCGCTGAGTGTTGCTGCAGCCCAAAACATTGGCATTGTAATGACATTGCTGCAAATACATGAATACACTTGAGGATACAATGTTTTTTGTTCTACTAAATTTAGCACTGACTAAAAGACTAATCATAACATTTAAGATCTAAATATGTACTTACACGTTTATGACATAATTCCATTCGTCAAATATAAGAATCAAAACCAGTCCAAATGGTAATGACAATGCATTGTTCAACAACACCATTGAAACTTCATTTAGAGATCCTGATTTTGTTAGCTGTTTTGCTTTTTCCATGACCATTCTCAGTGTAAGCTGTCAAAATGCACACTTGTCTCAACTTCATGGCAACATAAGTGCAAAAAGAGAACAGAACGAAGCTCTATTGACATGATTTATAACATTATAGCAACATAGGCGACAATAAAATGGACCATATATAAGAAGAAAATACATACTGAATAGCTTGCTGTTAGAACACAGTTTATAAGTTGCCAAGCATATCCTGTAGCATCAAAAGAAAGATCTGTGACGCCACCACTTACAGCAGATATTATCTGTCATTTAGAATGAAGAACTCAGAGTTCTAAATACCAAAGCAAATTGTATAATGCACAAGTTATTTCTGGAACTTATTCAATCCCTGTGTCTGTAAATAATAGGCCAAATTTATTTGCCAAACCATCCAAAATTAGTCCACTTTCTAAATTTAGAATACTAATGTTAACACTAATACACTATCCTTTATTACCATTAGTAATTCCTTACATAGTTACAGAGTATTAGATATATACTGATATGATGGATAGGTTGGTATTTTAACTCAATTTCTTAAGGAAAGGAAGGAGTAACACAGAGGAGCAGAGCACCAAATAGTGATTAGTTCTTGCAGGGACTGTGTACGAACACTCCTACAAAGTATAACTAACAAGCATCTTTTTGAGACAAAAGTCTTTATAACCCAGACCAAATTTATATAGTTACAGAATTTATTTAAGCACAGTCTAACAAAAAAAAAAGGTACCAACATAAGCGGACTAGAGTATTTAGCCAGGAACACAAAAGATCAACATTCATTATCAAAGGTCATATGGCGAGACATTCAGAGATGATACTTCACACATGTATTCAAATTTAACCTAGTGCAACATAACTATGTAGTATGTACCATCAAAAACATTGCAGTCCAAACTTTCTGATTCTGGTGTCTCCGGAATAAATAATAATCACCAACTGCTGTAATAATATTCGTCACATTCTTCAAAATCGTCACCATTGCAACATTTATGTACTTCAAACTGCAAGGATTTTGCCACAGGGATATTCAGTAATAGAAATATACTTCCATTGAACTTATGAGGGAAAAAAAAACATGGATTGCTTGCATTATGCCATATTGTCAAAAGGATGTTCCATTTTAAATTGCCCACATTAACAGAAATCACAATGCCACAATCACTATTCATCACAGAATTTTGAGTACCTGTACATGCCTGATACAAGCATACCCACAAAGATAATGTTGACAGGTAGCCAAACCCGAATGAGCTTCCAGCTGAGCTTTTCTACTGATACAACCCCGCATATACTCAAAACAGCAACGATTACAGTGCTGATTAAGTTCTGCATTAGGAACGGAACATAAGGCTAAATTTTAAAAAAGGTTGATACATATACCTTTAACATGATTAAATTAAGAAACAAAATAAATCCTTTGAGATGAAAGAATGAACTACCAATCACAGGTTATACAGGGAAAGAAAATTATAGAAGAAATGCCAACATCAAATGCACACTGTATCAATGATTAAACAAACCTGATAAAACATCAAAGATATCCCAGCGTTGAAATTGAATGTTGAGAGAACTACTTTGTTCAGCAATATCATGCTACAAGAGGAAAGACAGTAAGCAGCACCAGACACAAGTGGACCAGCGGGTTTTTTTACAGTTTTGTGCTCCCTATCTTCTTCCTCTTGATCTACATGGTTGCCAATGCAGTTTTGTATGGTTCGATTGGGACAAAGAAGCCTAAATAGAGGACTTGACAGGATCAGTCATGCAGTGATAAATGTATGCATTTTATCATATTAAGCATAAAGACAGGAAAGATTTGCAAACAAATAACCCTTATTTGGGAAAATGTCCTACCTCCTAAGGGAGACATTAGACTCATGTTCCCTAAAAAGGGTCCTAAGAAAGTCACTTGGAGAATATCTAACATCACTTCCTAATAGTAATCCAAGTTTCTGACACACCAAACAATTCATTTACAGTCAACAAGACACGCCATCAACAAACATAGAGTCTACACTCTAGATCATCACGTATCAGAAAGATTTGTACAGAAGCATTACATAACAAATAACATATCATCCACCTCCCCTTCCCCGATAACAAGTAGCAGACCATATCAACAACCTACTTGTAATCAGAGAGTCGGAGATAAACACAGATCACAAGAATTACTTTAGGTCATACACTGATAATTATAATTCATGGATAACTGGAGACCAAGTTCAGCTATAATTGATCAAATGACTTATCCTGAGATACATTCCCAAAATATGATCAACACTATATAACAGTTTGCATTAGAGAACCAGAAATTACTTCCTCATCAGAAACAATAGAATAAAACACACACACACACACACACACGCATCCTCAGCAACAAACAGTTTTCAATATAAGAATATTACAGTGGAAACTAAGTCTCACCTGTCACCTAATGATCTGCGCTCCCTTGGCGATGTAATGTCACTAATTGACTTCTTTCCTTGATGGTAGTCGTCAAGGGTATTGTAGATTCCGTTGGTCCCAATGGCCATAGTATCATTCTCGTGTAGAGGACCTCCTTCAGACTCATAATGATCATAGTTGTTCGCTATGTCTACCTTGATTTCTGATGACATCTGATTAAGGCTGCATATGATTGTACATAAGAAGAAAAAAAAGAGTAAAAATCGTAGGACACTGCACAGTGCAGGAACTGACGTAATACTTGAGAAAGAAGAAGAACAAAAGGCCAGTAGCTTGTCACAAGTTCTTAATGCTAATTCTCTAACCAATATTCAGGCCCAATTGCAATTAATTCATTAACAAAAAATCCAATAGTACTTATTAATTTATTATACCACTATTGAGAAGACGAGAAGAGAAACTGAAAGTTTGTCAAAAATTTAAAACCTCACCCATAGACCACACCCATGCTACCAGAACAGCAAAACACACAATATGTATATCAACATATTCCAAAAAAGCTCTTAAGGAATCTTAGAGGAAAGAGCAGCTACTCTAATTAAGCTTCTGATGATTTGTCTATGCATTACTCATACAATATAACGAGTCCTAATTCCTAAGAGATATCATCTTACAATGATAAATAAACTTCAACACCTATCAATGAAATCTCCTTAAAAATACCTAAAATCAAAATACTCAATACATTTCTAAACAGTAAGCAAAAACACTCATGCGATAGTTTTATCAATAATTCAACTCGATCTAGTAACGTGACAACTAAATCCAATAGAGGCAGTACTTTATTTAATCAAACTTTTGCTTCAAAACTAACTTATGTACATATCTACCATTCTCATTCTCGCTTTTGAAGCACAATCACCATCATAATAATCAATTGCTATAGTAATTCGCGCTCATACCAGCATTGCATACATAATTTGGGTCCCATATACACATTTGGTCTATTCACAAATACTAACTAAGTAGCAATAAATAGCAACTAAATGTAGAAACTCACCAATTTCAACTTGAACCTTGTATTTGACTAATCTCAACGACCTACAACACTAATTAACCTCCCTAAAGTGTGACCTATATATCAATTTGGTCAAACATTTCACAAACACAAATCACCAAAAGAAAAAGAAAATTAAAAAAAATAAATAATAATTAAAATCTTGAAGTTGATATTACGAATTTCCAGCACACAGAAATGCAGTAGAAAGATGAAAAAGAAAGTGATGAAAAATACATGAAATGAACGTGTTTTTATGATCAACTTTTTATATGACACGCAAAGGAGTATAGTTCCTCACAATAAGCATCACATAAATATTAATTTATCAAAAAATTCATCAAAAAAATGTTAAAAAAATTGGAGGAGAGAGAAAATGAAGAAGTGTACCATTGAAGGAAGGGGCAGCGAGATTGGAGGAGAGAGAGAATGACAACAGATGCTGCTGATTCACCTCCATTTTTGGCTTCATTTTCGAGAAATTAACCAGAAAAGTCAACTGATTCGCTGAAATTCATATAACTTTTTAAATTTTGTTTCTGGAATTTATGAATATTTTTGTGTTGAAGACGAAGGAAGAACAAAGAAGATGGTGGCGTTACTACAGACTCAAGCAAAGGCGTTTATTGAAAATTCATGTTTCGTTTTTGGGCTTCTTAAATTATTAATTAAAAAATTGATGTTTTTTTTTTAAATAAAAAATAAAATAAATTGATGTTTCGCTAAATGTGGGCTAAATTTATGTGTTTCGTTATTGGGCTTTTTAATTTTTTAGTTAGATAGTTGTGTCAAAGTATGGGCCTTGGACCTTGGTCGATTGATTTGCTAAATACCTTAACTTGGCAATAATATTGAGTATTGTGTTGGTACTTATTACTAATGGTAGATGGGTAGATGACAAAACGGTAATGCAATATGTTGCAAATTATAATGTGATGTTTTATTTGAAGCTTGATTTATACTAACATCTGTGGTAAGGTGACAACTAGAAAGTTATTGTCAAACATTGAAGGATAAAGACCGTTTTACTTTGTTCTAGTCCCTCTGTTCCTTTTAGTTTTGTTAAATTTTCCAATTACAAGATTATTCAAAATAGTTGTAAAGTTTTCAATAATAAACAACATAAACATATAATGTGTCGCTATAAATCAAGTTGTATTGTTGAAATACGAAGTATTATCTAAAATGTAAGAAGCATCACTAACAGAACGTTTTCCGTGAATGTTTCCTGCATTGCTCATTGATATTTATACAATATACAAGGAATAATTCAGCCATAATTCTAGGGCTATAATCTAGGAAACAATAATGCTATTCTACAAACTAGGAAACGATATATACACTTGACTTAGCTAATTATTTACATAATTATCTTAACACACCCCCGTGGTCCGGGAGGTCGACGGACGCTGGGACTATCCCAAAAGTCTTCAAAAAGTACACGTGGAAGTCCCTTAGTAAAAATGTCCGCAATTTGATGCCGAGAAGGAACATGAAGCACTCGGACATCACCACGTGCAACCTTCTCCCTAACAAAGAGTATATCGATCTAGATGTGTTTGGTTCGTTGGTGGTGCACCGGATTACCCGAGAGATAGATTGCGCTTACATTGTCACAGTACACTAATGTTGCCTTCCGTAGTGGACAATGTAACTCAAGTAACAAGTTTCGAAGCCAGCAAGATTCGGACACCACATTCGCCACTCCCTTGTATTCAGCCTCGGCACTCGACTAGGAGAGGGTAGCTTGGCATTTTGATGACCAAGATACTAAATTATCCCCTAAAAAGACACAGTATTCAATGTAGACCGCCTTGTATCGGGGCACCCACCCCAATCCGTATCGGTGTAGGAGATAAGTGACAAGGTAGAGGACGGATATAAGTGCAGCCCATGATCCTTAGTACCTTGAACATAGTGAATAATGCGCTTAAGAGTAGCCATATGTCAATCCTTCGGGTCGTGCATATGTAGACATACTTGTTGTACTGCGATGATATGTCAGGCCTTGTGAAGGTTAGGTACTGCAAAGCCCTAGCCAGGCTGCGGTAGTGAGTCAGGTTAGCATAGGGAGTGCCCGACGCACTCACTTTCGGCTTGGTATCAACTAGTGTGGCTGATGGTTTACAAGCCGACATACCTGCTCTCTCAATTATCTCCTCCGCATACTTACGCTGTGAAAGAAAGAGACCGCATTTGTGTCAAGTCACAGCAATGCCAAGAAAATAATTTATAGGACCTAAATCCTTTATAGCAAATTTTGAGGCAAGAAGAGACATAATAGAACATTGGAGAGCATGAGAAGAAGCTGTCAAAATTATGTCATCAACATAAAATTAAATATATGTCGTTTGCGACCCCGACCGATGGATGAATAATGAAGTATCAGACTTGCTGTTAATAAAACCAATGGACAACACATAATCAGCAAACCTTTTGTACCACGCCCGGGGTGCTTGCTTAAGGCCACATAAGGACTTACGCAACAAGCATACATGATCTGGATTATTGCGGTCACGGAAACCGAGAGGTTGTGCATATACACTATTTCATTAAGCTCACCATGCAAAAAAGCATTTTTGACATCAAGTTGATGAATTGGCCAAGCCTTAGATAAAGCAAGGCTAAGAACAATCCGAATAGTCATTGTCTTGACCACCGGACTAAAAGTTTCCCTACAATCTATGCCAACCTGCTGAGATTTGTCATCACCTAAAAGACGGGCTTTATGCCTCTCAAAATCACCATTAGATTTCACTTTATCAGTAAAAATCCATATAGAACGAATGACATTGACAACCCATTAGACTCACAAAACGCCCAAAAAGAACTATTATCATACTCCCTCCCATTATCACATTGGACATTCTTAATTGGTCGCTCAAATTGTGTTTGAATACAGGATTGAAAGGCTAAAAACTTATCAAAGACATCTGATTTTTTAGCTAAAGGAAAAGTCCACACAAATTTCGAAAAATCATCCAAAATGAGTATATAATAACGATGTCCCGAAAAACTCAAAACGGGATAAGCCCCCCACTACCTCAAATCCTTCCCAACAATCACAGTAAGAACCCCCCCCCCCCCTCTTTTATTCCTTAAATATGACTACAAGAATGGGACATAATGAGTAATTGTTTAATTGGAATGCTCCTATAATGAAATTGCATTGGTTTGGGAAAAACGACATTAGAAATGAAGAATCTTGGCATGTGTTTTAGCTTGTCGTGATAGCATACATCAGTCACAATGGCATATATAACTTGTCAAGATTACATGAAATTATATAGAGGAACGATTAATTGATAAAATCCTATTGGAATTCCAAAATCACATGATATAATTAATTAATGAATCAACTAATTATCTAAATTTACATGAAATCATTTAGGGATTCCAAAATCAATCAAGTTCGGGCCATCTGGGGTTTAGCCCATAGTACAACCCAAAATAATTTAATAAAAAAAGCCCAACTAAAACAATGAGAAACGTAGCTAGTTAAGCAGCCCAATCTTCTTTCTTGCTCAATTAAAATGTCTCCAATGAGTAATGATCATATCTAATTATCTATCATCGAGCTTACGGCCCCACTCAAACTTCCCTCGAGATTTAATGATTCATCTTGCCGCCATTAAACCAAAGCATGTTATTATACTACGTAAAAGTTTGTTGAACTGTAAAGTTGTCGTACGGATCGGACTTTCACCACCTTACTAACTTTTACTACTTTTTCCCCCAATCAACAAGTTTTAGCTCATACTTAATCTTGGTTGATGTAGTATGTTTAGGAATAATTACTTGTAACCCATTAAGTGAATGGCTAAACAACGCTGCCATTTTACAAGAGAGCGTTTTTTTTTTTTTGACATGGAAGGATGATATTACCCTTTGTGTAAATTGTAGTATATAATGGTCTATTATGGGACTTGTTGGCACTATAATATCATTTCCGACCCCTCCACTTACTAGCACGCGGTAAAAAAAAATTCCCGACCCCTCCACATCCGACCCCACCACATTCGATTCACCACCAAAAATCCGAGTTTTTTTTAAAAAAAAAATCTTAAGCATTAGCGACAGGTTTAGGACGATGGATGACGACAACGTTCGGACATCAGAGGCTTTGTGGGAGGATTCTGTAAGTCGTCGTACTTTTTTTATTAGATTTTTAAAAAAAAGATCCGCCCAAAATATTAGGATCCACCTAGGTGGATCCACTTAAAATTTCCGGATCCACCTAGGAAGATTCGGAAATTTAAGGCGGTTCTCCACATCCGCCCATAATTTCCGGATCTTCCTAGGTGGATCCGGAACTTTTAAGTGGATCTACCTAGGTGGATCCGGAAATTTTAGGCGGATCTTTACTAATATTTTTTTTTTTGAATTGATTAATTAATTAAAGTTATTATTGTAATCTTTGTATTATTATTATCTGAATATTTAATAATAATAACAGTTTGAACTATAATAAAAGAAATAATATTGGGGAATATTGTGTGTTTAGTTTATTTTTAATGGATTTGGAGTCTGAAGACGGCGGTGATGGTGTCAATTATAGTGTTAATTTCGTCACGAATACGTTATTTCCAACGTTTGATGACGCAGTAAAATGGGCGGATGTTGTTTCCATAAATCTGGGACTTATTTTGGTTAAATCGTCTTACAACAAAACCAGACATGGTCGGTCGTATCGATATTTGAAATGTGATCGGGGTCAGAAGAGCAAACCGAGAGATTTGAAGAACGCAATACGGAAGGACACAAAAACCAAAGCCAATGCTTGTCCTTTCTACATCAAGATATATTATGAATTCACCACAGATAGTTGGAAGATCCGTGCAAAAAATGATGAAAGTGGGACCCATAACCATCCAATGATCGTGTATCATGAGGGTCATCGTAAAATTAGTGGCTTGATCCCGGGTGCCAAAAAGGTTGTGCGTGACATGACAAAGTCCAAGGTTGCACCGCGTAACATCATGGCAACTGTTGTAGAACAATTTCCTGATGATCATCCAAACATCAGACACATTTACAATTTTCGGAATTTCTTTAGAATGAAGATGTCTGAAGGCAAAGGAGTTGTTCAACAATTTCTTCATTTGGCGAGACAAAGTCAGTATATTTACTGGGTCATGGCCGATGACCTCGGTGTTCTACAACATGCATTTATGGTGCACCCAATCACGGTAAACATACTACGCACATATCCACATGTAATCGGTATGGATTCAACTTACAAGACCAACCGATACGGGATGCCATTCTTTGAGATAGTAGGTGTAACACCGACAAATCAGAATTTCCTCGTTAGTTATGTGTTCATGCGCAACGAGTGCACGGCAAGCTATCGGTGGGTGTTGAAGAGATTAAGGGAGTTGATTGGGTATGATAAAGAACCATCGGTATTTTTGTTTGATCGTGAACTTGGCCTATGTGCGGCATTGAGAGAAGCGTTTTCAGGGACGTCGCATTTTCATTGTCGATGGCACATTAACAAAGATGTGGAGGCTAGGGTGACAGATAGGTTTAAAAATAAGAAGATCGGTGCGAGTTTCAAAAATGGAAAATGGAAATGTATCATGGATGCTACAACCAAGGCGGATTATAATGTTGCTCTGGATACAATGAAAGCTATGTGGGCAAGTTATTCGACAGTGATTATTTACGTTGAGAAAACATGACTTTGTCATAAAATTAAATTTGTGACATTTTGGACGAACCAAGTTCTTCACTATGGTAACACGAGTAATTGTAGAGTTGAAAGCCAACATTCGGCAGTGAAGACGTAGTTTGAATCATCGACAGGTTCGTTGTTATAATGTTGTAGTTGTTGTCTTTACTTCGTTTTAGTAATTTTAATAAAAATCATAATGTTTTTTATATTCTGAATCAACGACAGGTTCTTTGGATAGCGTATAGGCGGTCCGAGTACATTGTCATATTGGTAATCAACTCGAGGTGCTCCTGTGCAAGACTACATCGCCAATCAACAAATGTAGAACATAACTGTGTCCTACTCAAACAGCGTAAAACTTCTCGCTCCTGCCCGCCCCATATATATGACGCCACGTGACCACCAAAACTTGTGAATCGCTAAACATCGCCCGCAAATTACCATATAAAGCCCACAAATATGGCTTGGTGTGACCATTATGCCCATTTTCTAAAATTGAACAAATCTCGGTTTAAAAAATGTGGAGCCGTACTGGCTCGCCGGGGGAGACCGGAGGGCAGGCCGGAGATGCGGGGGACGCCGGAGGTACGTCGTCGTCGACGGAAAACGAGGTAAGTCACCGTTAAAATTCACGGTTTACCGTAGGAGTGGCTCCGGCGCCTAGGATGGACGCCCTAACCGTAGCCTGGACGTCCAAGCCAGACGCCAGAACCACCACAGTGGCGTCCAGCCCAGACGCCCAGACCACCAGACTGGCGTCCTGGCTAGGCGCCACTCTACTGGCTGAGGCGGCCCTGCCAGGCGCCAGTCTAGTGGATGTGGCGGCCCTGGCAGACGCCACCTTTATATATATATATATATATATATATATATATATATATATATATATATATATATATATATATATATATATATATATATATATATATTTTCTTTTTTGATTTTGTTGTTGTTTTTTATTTTATTTTTTTAAAAAAAAAAAAATCGAAAATAATTTTTTTTAAAAATTCGAAATGGGTTTTTTAAAAATTAATTTTGAAAATTCGAAATAGGTTTTTTTAAAATTAAGTTTGAAAATTCGAAATGGTATTTTTTTAAATTTAGTTTGAAAATTCGAATTGGGTTTTTTAAAAAATTAAGTTTGATTGTTGAGAAAGGTTTTTTTCTAAAATTAAGTTTGACAATTCGAAATTGTATTAAAAAAAATTGGAAATTGTTTATGTGACTTTTATAAATGATTGTGTTTAAAATTTGTATGTGTATGTGTATGAATAATATTATACATAATTATGTTTTTTTTGTTAATTCTGTGTAAATATAGAAATTAAATGTATTATCCGTTAAATGTATTTATTATAATATATAATTGATGCAGGATTATGGTGGAGACGGAAATGATTACAGTGGGATATTTGGACATGATGGTCCATTCGAAGAAGCTCAACAAGCGATTGATTGGGCAAAACAGGTTGCAATTGCAGCTGGATTTTGCTTGGTAGTAGTAACTCATAAATCTCAACGGGATGGTAGAATGGATCGCATTTTGAGATGTGACCGTTATCGCAAAAGAGAAGAAAGAGATTTTCGTACAACCACTCGGTTTGATACAAAGCGGAAAGGTTGTGGGTGTGAGTTCAGAGTAAAGGTCCGACAACTACGGAGTCGTGACGGTCGGGAAGTGATTGGTTACTCTAAATGGTGGTATCACAACCATGAGATGATAGTATATGAAGAGGGTCATTGACAGCTGAGCGGCTTAAGTCCTGCTGCGAAACTAGTTGTGAAAGAAATGAGTGATGCTCAAGTCAAGCCTGCTAAAATATTAGCATCTGTGTTAGAGAAATTTCCAGAAGACCATCCAAACCGAAGACACATCTACAACGTCAGACAGCAACTCAGGTTTGAACGGTTAGAAGGAAGGAACCCTATACAGCAGCTGCTACACCAGGCACAATCACGTGGTTACCTGTTCTGATTTGATTATGATGAAGATACAGCGGAGGTGACTCATCTTTTCCTTGTTCATCCTGATTGTGCTGATATGATCAAGTCTTGGCCATTTGTGATTTTGATCGACTCAACATACAAGACAAACAAGTACAAGTTCCCACTGGTTGAGATCATGGGGATGACTTTAACGAACTAGCACTTTCTGATTGGTCATGCAATCATCAAGGATGAGACGGCTCCAAGTTATTATTGGGTCTTGGAGAAGCTGAGTAACTACATCGGGCCTAATGTTCATCCAACAGCCATCGTCAGCGACTGTGAGGGAGGTCTCATTGCCCCCATAGCAGAGCTGTTTCCAGAATCAAAGCACTTATTGTGCACATGGCACATCAACAACTGCGTGAAAGTGAAAGCCTACAACCTTTTCAACAAGAATTTGGAAATGGCAGAGAGATTGGTGAATGGTAAGTGGCGGAAGATCCTACAGGCTACCACAGAGGAAGCGTATGAGCGAGCATTGGCTAACTTCAGGGATTCGTACCAGTGGTGTCCGGCACTGGTGGACTATGTGATGCAACAATGGGTCCCTCACAGGGAAAATTTTGTCAAATATTGGACAAACCAGGTACTTCATTTCGGGAACACTACAACATGTAGAGTTAAGAGCGCTCATAGAGCTACCAAGGACTGGATTGATTCATCGACCGCTGCTTTGGATACACTGTTCGATAGACTTAACAAGTCAATTGAGACTCAGAAGAACGGCATCAGGAACTCTCTAGAGGACTCCAGACGACGACATGGTACGATGTATAGCCATTTCATATTTAAGATTCTCCATGGTCGTGTGTCGCACTACTGCTTGGGGTTGATTCTCACTGAGCTGAACAGGATGAGGGACTTGGCTGACGAAGTGTATGCTCGGTGTGGGTGTGCTATTTCAGTAACTCATGGATTACCTTGCGCATGCACCATTCACCGCGTTATTACAGAAGACAGGGCGTCGTTACATGTTGATCAGGTCCATTCATTCTGGCGGACGCTCGTTATTGGTGAGCATGCAGATACTCAAACGGCCGACCGTGAACAGGAGGAGTTGGAGCAGTTTCGTTCGATGTACGACCGAGTGTCCTCCAGCCATCCTTCTATTATTCGTGACGCTACTCATATACTTCATGACATGTTCCACACGTCTACCTTAGATTATGAGGAACCCGAAGGAGTTGACCGTCCTTGAGGTCGGCAACGGCGGAACATGAGTGAGTTTGAGTATATCCGTGGTCTTGGTCGTGGTCGTGCTCGTGGTCGGACATCGTCATCTAGTCGTAGTCAATCTTCATCGTCTGTGAATATGCCCCTGAGAACTGGTACGTTTTGGTTGTTTACATTGCACATAGTTTTAAAATGTTACTCCTGCCTTCTTAACTGTGTTTAATTATATGGTAAATAGGAAGAAACGATGTTGATCAGTTTCCGTACAAGGACAGGATACCTGCGATCATCATGCCGTACTTGGAAGGGTGGAATGATGTAGTCGGAGATGGTAACTGCGGATTCCGGGTCGTGGCTGATGTTTTTCAAATGGGCGAAGACAACTACGGTTTGGTGCGTCAGTTGATGTACAGCGAAATTGCCTCTAACCAAAATTTTTATCGTCATGTGTACCAGGATGACTTGGATGGCGCTCTGCGGCGTATCCGGTGGGGAGGTGGACCTTGCGGCCAAAATCATTATTTTGACGCGCCCCTAGATCTGTTTGCCGCTGCAAACATTTACAAATGCGCAGTCATGCATTTCGGCCTGGGATTGCATAGTTGATAACTTGTTATTTGTCATGATTTTAGGGTACTTTTGAACCTTGTTTTCGTTATTAATCGACATCAAAGTTCATTTTTTATCCTATTTTTATTCAAATTTTGTACCATCCATGCTTCACCGGTTGTTTTTGTTTTTGATATAATGTAGTTATTTTTAGCACTATGGACGTGATAAAGTATGAGTGAGCAAGGATAAGGGCAAGCTTGGTTGATAGAGCCATGGAGGAAGAAGGAGAAATGCCTTAAAGGGAAATGAAAAGCTTTTGGAGAACCTTGAAAGGTCGTTTGCGTAAGCGTCAACTTCAACCAACCATAACTTTTGATATTCTCAACGTTTTGAAGCGATTCAAATTGAAGATTAAATTTCGTCTCAAGAGCTTTCCAACAACTGGTCACAAGTCCATTTCCGACAAGAAACGTAGAAGTTACAGCTTCCCAAAGTTAAGCAGTCTAGGCAGGGCATTCTGCACGGACGTGCAAGATGATAGCACGGCAATGCAAGTCTGCACGTCCGTGCCAAAAGCTGCACGTCCGTGCAGACCTTGGCAGAAGCTTCTGCCTCCATTTTGACCCTCCTGCACGTCCGTGCCAAACTTGGCACGGCCGTGCTTAGCCTTGCACGTCCGTGCCAAATCTGGCACGTCCGTGCAGACCTGGAGTCGAACTCCTTCCTTGTTTTCTCCGTCCTTTTTATTTGGGGGTCATATAAATACCCCTTTAGAGCTCATTTGTACGGGGGAGGCAAGGGAGGCAAGGTTTTTAGAGCTTTCTCTTAGTTTTTGCAATCTTAGAACATGAAATTCTCAAATCATTAGTTAGTTCTTAATTATTAGCTTGGAATTATTCAAATTCAATCATTGTAGAAGACAAAGTCCACCATTGTTGCTCACCTTGAAGCTTCATAGTAACCATTTCTTACTCATCTTTTCTACTTCTCTTTACTTTGTTGTTAATTATTTGCTAGTTCTTGCATGTTTAGATTGTTAATTAGCTTAATCCTTAGTTTGAACTTGTTCATGAATTGCTTGAAATCTTTAATTGCTTTAACCTCCATGGATTGTGAGTAGTCTAAATTCTAGGGTTTGGGTAAACCCTCAATGTAGTCACTAATTACTTGTTGCATGTGTTAATTTGGTTGTTGTGGGATGTTACTTAGTTGAGCTTAAGTGGTTTAATTGCTTAGTTCTTGTATATGGCCATTGCTAGAACTATTTATCCAAGCTTTCTCAACGAAGGATCG